AGGTTTAAAAGGGTTGGGGGGTTTGCGTTTACATTCCCAAAAAAAAAAAAAAAAAAAAAAAATGCAGGGCTTGGCGAAGAAGACCAGGATAGAAACGCTGATGTCGGTATTCTTCGTTGCGTACACTACGGTGCAAGCATGCAGAAACTCGAGGATGCGTTTTGACGGTGGCGTAACACGCTGAAGAGAGAGAGGGAGAGAGAGAGAGAGAGATAATCGTCGTTCCGTGGAAAAAAAAACGTTAGATCGGTGACTCGAGGAACTTTGACCTCGCATTGGAGACTAGATCCTCTTACAATTAATAGACTATTAGTACAAAGAAAAGAAAATGAACATAGTATCTATATTATTGTGGTTTTATCACTCATACATGGATGTTGTGACAACCAGTAAATCAATACAGTATTTGTTACTGCTATTAACCTATTTGCATCACAGAAGTGGAATGTTCCGCGAGTAATGTCTGCTTTCTATCACCAAACATGGAATAATCCGTGGCATGCTGTTCAGTTCTACTGTTCCCGTTATAAGCAGACCTTGCAATTTAAGTTGTGATGCAAATGGATTAATTGAAATTTTGACCAACGGCTTATAAATGCGTCAGCGGACCCAAATAGCCAACCGATAACAAGAAAACATTCCATTTCACGTTACAATCTTCGATCATCTCTTGATCCTCGAATCACCCAATCTGACTCCTCATGCAACATCCTCTACGGAATGCCTCGATGAAATATCAAATTCAATTTTAAAATAGCTAAGGAAACTGGACTATGCTAATTCAGCCCAAAATGCTCGAAGCAGCGAGGGAAACCGTATAGATAATATCTTCGGCAGTCTCCAACTCCTCATGCATTTTTCTTTTACACGTAATCCACGAGGAATCGTTACATTGTGATTGTATGTATATACGATTGAAATAAAAAGATGAATGTTATTGAACGATCGCTTTGGAACGCTCCCCGTGCGACTGAATCGGCGCTCCTTCGTTTCGAACGCGACAGGAACAGAAGCGTCTGAATAACGACTAAACAACAGATAGTGACTGTAACAAGGACTGTACAGAAGAGACTAGAGGTCCACGGCGACTGAATGCCGTCGGGATTGGAAGTCCACCGTTCATCGGGGGGTTTTCTCTGTTCCTAAACGACAGCGTGAGCCCACCTCGTAAGTACTCACGACGCAGACGACTCGCTTCGCGGCGTGTCGTCGTCGCGGGGCTGTTTTATTAGTTACAATAAACCCTCGGCCACTCGGGGAAACATTTACACAGTCCGATCGATCGGTCACCGACAATTTGGTGCACTTACCGCCTCGTGGGATCGGCCGGAGAAGACAGAGTCGTGGCGATTCGGAATTTAACAATCTAAGCTGTTTTCACTGAAAATTAAGACCTAGAATAGGTCGTGTATATTGAATGCTGGTTGAAGCTTCCATGTATAAACTGTGTCCCTTTGGAAAATGATTTTGATGCTTTGCTAATGTGGTAGCTACCAGTGGATAAAAGAGGGGTTTGGACACATTGGTTCTCTATGACAAAATATATTGAACAGAATGATAAATGTATGTTGATGAAAGTATATTATTGTGAAACAAAGGTAGCAGTGTGTCAATAGATCCTGATGAAACTAGCAAAAGATCACTGCTTATACATGGTAGCCTCAACTAGTAGCAACTTGGGTCCAAGTGCCTCTGTTGCGCCAAAAAAGAGTCTAGCTTTCTCCATGTCTACAGATCAAGATATTGACGAAACAAGGCTGTGTTGTATTTTCTTTGTTGTTGATCGGTGTTTTCGAACAGCTCGACTCTGCCTTCTCGCGTAACCGATCGTCCAAAGCTACGATTACCAACTTACCATTTCCGTAGTGAGACTGGCTAGCGCCTCTTCGACGGTGGCTGCGATCTTCCCTCCGTCGTCGTGACGCTGGCTGCCCCTGATCGGCGTCGTCGGGCAACCTAAAATGATCGTTAGTCGTCATAGTGCAAGAGAAAACTAGATGATTAGAATAGTTGCAGCTGGACGGTCACCGGAGCACAGATAACGTGTCTGCCTAGTGATAGTGTTCGAGTCGAGTCGGCAATCTATGGGTTAGAAACTGTGGACTCAAGTTTTGTGCTCCGGAGGACCACTTTAATGACTTTGGTGACAAAGTGGATTGTACAGAAATGGTGGAACTTCGACACGTTAATGGTAAAAATACGGAATTAATAATAGGAAATAAAAAATAATTTAGATCTTGTCAAACATTTCTACTTCATCTACATTTAGCCAACCACTGTTGGCTATAAAGAAAAAGAGCACATTTGATTGTCGATGCAACAACGAACTATACTAAATATAATGGTTATGGTTTTTACTATATAAAAGTATACATCGAAATTCTCTTATCTCAAGTTCCACCGAAATCGTCATCAGAATGATCCTCCGTGATTATCAAGGTCGCCAAGATGCTTCGAGAATAGAAAAGCGTGCAGAACCTACGGATCCATGTCTACGGGTGACAAGAAGCGTGTGTAGCTAATATCGTATATGCGAGTGTAGCAAGAATGAATAGAATAAGTATAGAAAACGAGAGAGAGAGAGTAAATTCGAAACTTATCTCGAGGCGTATTGGTTCTAGGGATGAATGCTGATTGTCGTGAACGTGCGTGCGTATCAAAAGTCAAAAGTAGAACGGGTGTGTGTTAACGGGGTTTTTCTTTTAATGAGAGTGAGGTCTGGTGTTTTTGCAATTGTCGTTTTATTGTCGCTCTTACTGTCGAGGAAAAAGAAGAGAAGAGATTTCGAGTGTTTTCACAAGGCTTTTCTCGTAATTCACCTAGACAGGGCTAAGAAACACCGGGCACTTGTTTTTGTTCGACTGTATTTTGTAAATGTTCACCGACTTAACTAGAACAATCGATATTATCGTGTCGTTTAACTGATTAAATATATATTTAACAAACGTGCTCGTCAACGAGTTTCCCTTCATTTCACTTTATTATACCATCCCATTTGGCTCTTGCAATTTGTCGACCTCGGACGAGCACCTTCGTTCGATTAATTATGTATAAATGTATTCTTGTTCGTGTTTGATTCTCTCTTAATTAACACTTACGGGCGACAATCTTGTATTACAATCTAGAACACATATGACAACGGCATTAAATTTAGGCACTGGAATTTCTTATTCGGTTGCGCGCGTATTTCGAGTCTATCTAATTCGAATCGTCTCGATTCGATTAGCACAAGGCAGCTGATGGAGTTGGAACGAGCACGAAAGTACAGCCGCTTCCTCCGTCGTTTAAATCAATTATCGGCAACGATGCATTATATCGTTTTCAGCACGAAATTGATCCAAGTGGCGTATGTATCATGTCGTAACAACGGATTTAACTCGCTTCACTCGAAAACCTATCTAATTTTCTCTGATTATACCATGTATCGGTACAACCAACGAAAGTACCTAATGGCAAGTCTAACTCTATTACCATTACAAGATGTTCAATTGTGTCTTTAAGGCTACGGTTACTTATCTCGACATTCTAGCCTATCTAATTATCGTACACGCTTATTACATATAAGGATTTCGTTTCTTACAGAGAAGGATTATATTCCGTATAATAATAATTGGTTCAATGTCCTCGATGCATCGTGCTACTCGAATAACGATGATATGACAAACAACGATGACTTTTCTTTTTGAGGTTCTTTTCAGAACACACTACCTTAAAACGTGGCACGTTAATCAGACTTCCGGTTGTTGGCGCGAGAGCCGCGTTGATTGCCCGTTACTTGATACGATTAATACGTCTACTTGACTTCAATCGTTGCTCTGGGATGGATATTAATCACGTCGTTTTTGCGGCAATAACGAAGCTAATGTTACTTAATTCTTTTTCTCGGTTAATGGACTGTTTTCTTCGATAAGAAATTTTATCGGTATTCTGGACTTTCTGCTACATTGTATACCTCTTTAACCCCTTGCGTTGGAACGACACCGGTTCACGACGTGACGTGAAACAGATGGGTATCATTTTCTTTATATTAACACTTTCGCAACTGATGACGTACCACGCATCGAGTTACCAGCTGGGAGTCACTGACACTAACAATTATAGCTGACGGGTAACAAACACTTTTAATATTCTTTTCTAATCGTATGTGACTAATGAAGCACGATAATAAAAAAAGAAAAGATTATTCTTATTTCTATACTTGTTGTCGAGGTAGATTCACTAGGCTCCCAGGTTTCATTGTGCTCCAGAGTTCCCGGCTCCGAAAGTGTTAATGAGATCGTTTAATCGATTTGTTTAGAATCACAGTGTGAACGATGAGAACCAGAGACTATGAAAGATGTAAATTTCGTAATTAGAGGTAACTGTGCCTATTATCTCTTGGCGAATGAGAATGTTTCTGAACACCAAGGATATTTTTCATACGAAGACATAAATGTTAGAAATGAAAAAAATTGTATAGGGTGGATGCACACGTACCAGTGAATGAACAGTATTTTATTTTAAACATTATTAAATATTGATTCTTTTCAATTTCTTGTTTCATATTCAAACAATGTTCGCGGCACTGCTTAGTAATGTTAATTTCCTGGTGAAATCTGTATTTTTTCTTTTTAATTAAAAAATTACATTCTTCCAATTTTCAAATTGAAATCTATACGTTATAAAAAGGTAGATATTAAAAAATCTAATTTTTATGTACGAAATATTTATCAACATTAATATCACTTAGAATTTGACTATAATAGTTACAAAATCTCTCAAGTGTTCATTCATTGGTGCCTTCACCCCACTATTATTTAAATACTGATACTATCACTTGTTACAGCAGTGACATTTCTGCAAGTAAAATCTGATTCTATTCTTTCTATTCATCCGCAAAAAGTTACGTACCGCAATAACCATCACTGAAGACACTAATATCGATTCATGAGAATATTGTGAATTCGTTAAAGCTAGTAAATAATCGTAAACATTTAAGGAAATTCTAATCCATACATGTTTGATCTCTGTTCGTTTTTTATAAACGTTCTGCGCACAGGTAAACGCCAGCGCAAGGGATTAGAAGTGGAAGGATCGCGATTCGAATTGAAAGAAAGCGACTGGACAATCAACAGGACGTGTACGCCCGACGCGAATCCTTTCGCCGCGAGGACCGGAGAAGAAGAAGAAGAAGCAGAAGAAGAAAACGAGGGAGTCTTCGTGGCGCCCAGTGGGCCTCTTCAGGAGCTGTAGTAGATGCTCAGCGCGTAGAGGAACTTACCTGCGTCACCGCTGCTGGAACTCTCGGTGAAGGACGGAGTGCCCTCGGTCCAAGTCGGCGTCGAGCCCTCGGCGCTGCCCGCAGGTGGTGTCCAGGTGAGACCGCCACAACCTCGACTGCTACCCCCGCTCTCGACGCTCAGGGACGACTTTGTTTCCCTTCCGCCACTTCCGCTTCCGCTACCACTGCTCTCTAAGTGGACGTCGGATATGCTGAAACGTTGATTGACGCTTATGTTTCTAGTTTGTAGCAAGATTTATTTGCGATTTCAGGTTCCCTCGGATCAGATTTGGAACAATTCTATTCGAATGATATATAGAAAAATGGTAGCATTTAAGATTGTCTTCCTGACCTTTAAAGAGAGTTAATAAGGCTGAAGAATCGTCTGATTAATGTTTACTTGTTCAAGAAAAAATATTATTCTATTACAAAAATTGAAATTGACAAGCGTTAATTGAAGAGAAATAGGGAAGTACTTTTTGTATCTTTTATACGTTCTTCGAAAATTTGTAATTAATGTTTTAAAATTGGACTTATCTAAATAAAAGGACAATCACTCACCTAACGGCATCGTGATAAGTCTTTGTAAGGGTGACGTGGTGCACGACCTTGTTCTGCTTGGATTGAGCACTGCTCAGACTGCTCGTTAGAATCGTGGCCGATGCACCCTGCTGAAGTTGACCACCGGAGGCCAGTGTTTGGTCGTTCGAGCGCACTGCATCGTCAAAGGGCGGGGGCGGGGTGGAGCAGGTGGAAGGAAGGGTGCCACCTACAAAAAGCGCACTACAATTAGCCCTAATGAACAGAACACAGTGTGCTTGCTTCGTCATCGACGGAGGTGGTTCTAAGGGGGAAGGAGAACATCTATCTTAGCGGAGGAGGGTCTCGAGGAGACCAGAGAAAATTCATGGTGAACAAAAATCGTTCGACTCTCTATAACGATTAGAACAATTGTTTAAAAGACAAAAATCAATAAAACCGTGTTAGTCAATGAAAAACATGAACTAAGCTGTGAACTGAACTACTCAAAATATATACATAGTTACTATTAGAAAATATAGAAGCAAATTCTTGACAGGTTGTTAATACTCGATTAATTTCAAGGGATCTGATTTCCCACAACAGTGGCGGGAAAGGACAAGGATTTAAATGCTACTTAACGCTCTGTTATCGGTGATTACACTAAGCACGGAGTTAAAAGTAACAGTAACAGCATTTCTAACGTTTTGTCACACAGCAAACAACTCACGGTGCATATATAATTACGGTCAATTGGCGCAAAATTCACCCAAGCGTATAAGTTCGAAAAAAAAAAGAAGTTTCTCAAAGGACGAAAAGACAGTTAGAACATTATAAATCGAGATCACTTCCTATTGAAGTCAGTCCGAATAAGCCATTCTAAAGTTTGCTAATTGGTAACGAGAACTAACACACTACCAGAGTAAAACCATCTACATTGCGTGTTCTACGGAGGCGCACAGATAGCAAAACTACTTTAGCCAGCACGTCGCAAGAGGCGAATTTGATTCTTGCTCGACAAGGGGTATTTTTCAGTGTAATCGAGCACACTCGTGTGAACGTCCCTTTATTATGATACAGAGAGCACACACCGTACACAACCACTCCAACAAGACTTGTTTTTCTGTATAATCGATGGAACGACGGGTGTATCGATGGATAATGTAAAATTTGTTAACTTTTTCATTAAGAGATAGACGCAACGATGTAAATAGCATCCTTACTGTTTTTTTTTTAAATTCACTTTCTCTTTATTTTTTCTATGAATAATAAAATTAAGTAAATCCATTCGATAAGAAACTATTTTCGATTAAGTTAAAAATATTATTAAAGTCGAAACATGAAATTCGTAGACCTACATTAGATTATTAATCGACTAACGTGTCTGACACTGGTAAAAAAATTAATATTAGACATGATTTCTCATTTTTGTTATCTAGATCCTTTCTGGCTATGTTACGTCTATTTCTTATTCTATCAAACGTGAAAACGTCTACGCATGCAGAGAAGACACACTGCCTGATCGAGGCGAGAAAAGAAAACCAATCTTTACACACTACGAGTTTTCAAACGTGGTTATTATACTTTTATGCGTGATCGTAGGCCACGACGGTTGCAAACGATACCTCGTCGACGCCATAAAATCGACGTTGGAGACGGTACAGGATACAAGTAAAACGGCAATAAACAAAGTGCGCCCGTGTAGTTGGACAGAATATACAATACACGAGAACACCGAGCTACTGGTGTCTTCTTTCGTTCTCTGGACGTGGGAGGATTCGTTCGAACAGGGATGGTGATCATCGTATTACAAAACTGACACGAGAGATCGAGTTAATGAGATGCGAGAACGAATAAATAACTCAGAGTAATGTGTATTTTGCGCATGCAAGAAAGAAACATTCATTTGTAGGTCTCGTTTTTTTTTGGGTATATCGAAATCATTCTTTTCTATGTTGTCCGAAAATTTCCGACTCCGGTTTCCATTTTCAAGGAACATCTTTTCAGGCTGTTTGATTATTCAATCCTTCAAATATTCACTACTATTCATTATAAATTCGTATTCAAGTTAAAATTTCGTCACGTCAGATCGATAACCGTGCAGGAACGATGTGTTCGGTTTCAATTTGGTAGAACTAGATTCTTGGACTCCACTCCTCAATTTATCATTCGTATTTCTCGACTGGTCTTTAGAATTAAAATTCCATTTCATCGAACTATTCGAATTTCGGACTCTTCCAGCTATCTTATCGTTGCTCGACCGTGAATACTTCCTGCTCGTTTGATAAGCCTCTGTGGCCGTTGACGATCCACTGTCAACGTTTTTTCTCGTCAGACTAGTCTCTCGTTTACTATCAACCTCCGCGGAAGAATACATCACTTCGATGCTTTTCGATTTCCCTGTTGCCCTCTCTTCGATTCTCGTAACAAGAAACGTTCTCTTATCGGACTTCATGTGTACAACCTTGTCTTCCTTGGTCCCCAACGATCGAACATCACTGGTCGATCGAACAACCGATCTCTCGTCATCATTTTCGTAACTGGTTCTCGAAGTCGTCTCGATCTTCTTCCGAGAATTCACTACGGTACAATCGATCCTCTTCGAAGCATCGAACGTCTGAATCTTAGGGGACGGTTCTGGAGCCAATCTCAGCCTCCTCTGCACAGACTTCTCCCTGATCTTCCTCAGCAATCGGCTCTCGCGTCTTCGTTCCTCGAACTTCTGCGCGTCGATCATTTTCTCCCCTTGTTCCCTAGTTATCTTCACAATCGATCTGTCCCCCTCGATCCTCTCTGCATCCACAGCGATCTTCCTCCCGTGTTCGCCAGCAGGTCTTGTCAACGTCGTGATCGTCGTGATCGAGGCCTCGAGCTCCTTCTGCTTCCTCTTCATCCTCTCGTAATACGTCTCCGAGTGTTTCTTGTCCTTCCTCGACATCTTGTAGTTCATTAGCTCCGGTCTAGCGGCCGGGTTCAAGAAATACGTGAACTTGGCCATGGTGTCTGTTCTTCGATTCACCGCGGCACTTTCGTCCGCGATCCGTCTGGCTTCCGGTTTGGACGTTTTCCCAGGTCGCGTGAAGTTTCCTCTTTCGGGTCTGAACGGATGGGAACTGGTTCTGATCACGTACGAACCGTTCACCCTCTCCACGCTGACGAACTCGTCATCCTCTTCGATGTTCCCTGGCCATTCGTCGTTTCGTCCAGTGTCCTCTTCGCGGATGATTTCGAACGCGGTTCCCTGGTTCATCGATCGTTCGATCATCGCCAGGCTGTCGTAACGCGGGGGTTGGTAGGCGGGGGTCGACGTACGGGCATGCAACGCGTTCACGTCGTGTGTACGGATGACGGATGATGCGACGGTGTGGTCGTAGGTCGCGGTGTTAGTAGTATTCACGGCGATAGAAGTGTTATCGGATGGTGAGGGGATGTGGTGGTGGTGGTGGTGATGGTGGTGCAGGATGCTCGAACTGTCATGCAAGCGGTATCTCGTGATTGCGGTTGCTTCGTCACCTCGGCTGGATGTGATCGAGGACGTCGAGGTGGCGGTACCGGGGCCACCACGGTGTTCCTCCGAGGACCTGGCCCTCGATTGGCCCCCCGTGCCCCTAGGCGGGACAGGGGGCGGTATCTTGCCGGAGGGTACCAAATTTGGATTCGGCGGACTGGCGGCGGTTCTGCCCTTCAGAACCGCTGGATAAGTCGTGACCTTGGCCGTAGGGGTCGGTTGGGCGGCTGTGGTTGGCTGCTCTTGATTCGTCGCCGTCGTCGGACCCGCGGCCAAGGTCAACGGGGGCGGACTCACAGGGCCGCTGGCGAAGTTTACCGGGGTGGAGGTGGCGATCGGCGCGGAACCGGTGGACATCATCACCGTGCTGGTCGTGCTGGTCGCTGGATCGGTCGGGGTGACTGCTTATCGTGTGTGTCCCATGGTCGTTCGAAGGTCGGTCGACAACGGCGGTTTCGTGTCGCGAGGGTTGTGCAGCGACGCAGTGACGGTGAAGGGGGGGAGTAAAAAGTCAGAGTGATACAGTGGCGGGCGGGGTAGAGAGAGGTCGCGTGAACGAGCCGAGACGTGGAACGTTGCTTCGAGGATTCTATTGGGATTCTAAGGTTAAGTTTTATTTGTGGTTTACATCAGTTTAGCAGGGAAAGATATTTACCATAGATGGTTTTTGTTATTTCGTTCAAAAAACAGTATTATTACATCGGTGATGAGTATTGCTCAGGGATGGCATCTTCTTCGATTATTAAGATCCACATATAGGGGAAGGTTATCAAATTTTGACCATCGCCTAGGATTGATCACTACTGTAACTTGTGTGTAAGGTTCAACCTGGGCGATGGTCCAAATTTAGCAACCTTTCCTTAATACTTTTCATACATTTCTGAATGTTCAAGAGCCACAGAAAACATTATTTTAACACTATATTTATAAACAATACAAATCTGGCTGGTAGGACGTCAAAGCTGTTCTAAGAGCCGCACAGAGTAATTTTGATAGCCGCAGCTTAGAACGAACGGGATAGGTATCGATGGTCTCGGAAGCAACGTTGCACCTCTCGCCGGATAAAATATTAATACCAATATAGCAATGAATGATTATGAGCAAGTTGGAATTGTGACAATGACTCGATCATGTTTCTGAACACCGCGGATATAATCGACTATCGATAGTTCTCTTATAGGACAGACCCTAATTACGAACGTCTCTGTGGAATTTAATCGACTCTCTTAGCTGAGACCGCGAACGAAATCGAAATGATAATGGACACTAGGAAAGTAAGTGATCGTATGAGAGACTCACCGGCCTTCGTGGGTGACGTAGCATGCATTGTCGAACTTCCGGTTGTCGGCACCGCTAAACCACCACATAACACCATGTACCAATTACCGTATCACCATGTGTGCGACTCTTGATCGGACAGAGAAACTTCCAATACCCTTGGACGAGACGTATTTTTGCTCTAATTCCGTATTCATTGAAATTCTCATGAAATCTCTCGATCGATCGGAAGTCTCTCTGTCCATTCACGGATCGAAGGGTGTCCGCAAATAAAAAAAATAGGGATTCGAACAAGGGACGTTCGAGGCAAACAAGAGGGATTCAATGGTCGGAATGCGCGCATTCGACTGACATTCACGATAGAAAGCTGTATACGTACGTTCTTTGCGTCTGCAGACAAGAATCGAACGGGTTTATCGACACCGATTGAACGTTTGATGGACAGACAAATACGTTACAGAACGAAATGTGCGATACTTTCAGACAGAATCGGATAATATTTTTCTTTCTTTACGTTAACATGGATATTTTATAAATCACTGATTTATACTAATCCGTATAAAAAAAATGTGCAGTAATAAGTTGAATATACAGAGTGTTGTTTCGTGAATCAGTCATTCTGAACGCCCTGGTTCTTCGGTAGACTGTTGGGTGACATTGTCGTAAAGAAAAATGAAGATATTCGTCATATTATTTTTATTTCTCTTCAACTGTGCTCCCTAGAGGGTAAACTGATCTACTTCATAAAAAAAAGTGTCACAGAGCAACAATATTCTAAACAGAAAAAAGGTAAGATAAATTTCCCGACGTTCCACTTTTCAAATTACGAGGAAGAACCAAGACATTGACAGAGTGATTAAACGATCCGAAACACCCTGTATAATCGTTTCAGCGGTTTGAGATTTTTTCTGCAAAAAATTTGGTACCATTCAGGTGGTCCCCGTTTTATTCGTACCAGATTATAGGATGTGACTGTGGATTTACCTACCAACACGAGACACGATAGGGCGTACGTCATTCGCACGTGGAAGCACGCGCGAGCCATCTTCGTAAAAGCGACACGAGTAGGTATCCTCTCAGGATGGGGAATGCCACGCTTGACAAAGGACGATTCAGTGAGGATTCTTGGATCCGTGACAGATGGGGACCGTGGTGAATGTTTTGGAAGCGGGTAACGTGGGATTGCCGCATCTAAATTTACTGCGCTGATCGCTGTGCCTGGCTACACACGTGAAATTCAGCGCAAAGCTAATAATAGAACCGTGGAAGATTTTCGTTCGAATCATCCGCAAACGATTTTCGGAACGGAAACGATCGTATATTTTTCCATCGATTCGCGGTGATCCGTGCCCCGTCGCCGAACTGATTTTCGATTCGTTCGAAGACCATTTCGTGCGATCGTTGCACGAGATATTGCTCGAGATTGATCATTATTAGAGGGAAATTTAGGATATACCTAATATTTATTGCTGTTGATTGTACGAATGACTGGGAATGAAATTATTTAGATGGAAGGAGCAAATATTAGACGTAATGTAATACTTTATTCCAGGTTTGAAGACGATCAATTACCAGTTTTCTAAGTCTCTTAACTTTCGATCAGCAGACGCTGGGTCACTAAAGACCCATACTTTAGATATGTACAGATTTATAATAAATATTGTTTGTTTGCAATTTATATATTTTTCTTACTTTATATCATTCCATATATGATCCTACTTTGTAGAATAAAATAATTTTTGAAAATAATTTTAGAAACCTCTTCCATCAAATATTTCATTCTTATCGATTCTATTCCATTGCACAGCCAAAAGTAATTTTCGCAACTGAACAATTTTAGAATGTGGAGTAACCGAATTGGTTCCGAAAACCGGTAAAAACATCCGGTCGCGTGAGACCATTGTGTGGAAGCATAAAGATATATAATAATTGTAAAAGAAAAAAAAAATAACATTTCGCTGAGAAACTTGTGAACAGACTCACCGGTGGAATCGAAGTCGCCGTCCAGGGGCCTGAGAGGCCTGGTGATGCTTTTTCTCTTCGACGGGGAATGTTTCAACGCTGAAACACAAATCGTCGGGTGTTATAAATTCGGCCACGTGGTTGATCGATATGCAGGACATCGATAACGTATTTACTCGAGGAGATCGGAACGATTAATTGGAAGTCTCAGATCGGCACCTATCGAGGGGGTGGCGGGGAATCGAACGAGTTAACGCTACAAAAGCTGACGTCAGTACCGTAGCAAGTGTTAGCTTGGGCGTAAAGCTTCTCGACTTTGTTTTGAAAAAGTTTTCACACTGCGCTCGATCCACGTACCTCATCGAACGCAGTGCTGTGTGTAATTGCATTACGGGGATTCTATTTTCGCACCGTATTTATTAGAACATTTTCAATCGTATGGTTCGCGCTGGCACTTTCAGAAGCAATTTAACGTCTGTGACTGAAAATTTCAATGACTACGACCCGGAGCTAATTGTTACTTTCAAGTAGGGGAGAGTATTTTAATAGTTAGAGTATTTAAATATCTCAGAGTACGCTGATATTTCTTATACAGCAAACCATCGACGAGTGTCTGAAGGCTCCCCTGCACTGACAAGGCATAAGAGAGTGATTGTGCTTGGAATTCTGAAAGCCAATGATATTTGTTTCAGTAGCATACGGCGACCAGTTTATGAAATATTTAATATTCAGTGCCGAGGAGTCTCGAACACTCATCGATGACTTACATTCTTGATGTCTTCTAATTACCTGAGAATTTTGTATAACATTCGTTGGTATTTCAAAATGATCAGTGTATCTCTGAGATCCACATTGCCTCCAACTTTAGGTACATCCATAGACGCAATGCTTCGAAAGATCCAGCGCAAAATTAATTCTCGCTACAGCACTGTCTGCCACGACTACATCTAACTTTCCCACCGTAATGGCTACGCTTCTTTGATATCTCTACATTACCAGGAGACAGTGGTATCTCTACATCAAATACGCAAAACTACACGTGTATACGTCGTCTTCTCCCCCGAAAGGAACTAGTTTCCTCTATAATCACTAAAAGACATATCGACGACGGGTAAACGAGTGTGATAATCAAGCCGACAACACCGAAAGCTTTCTCCACCACGTCCATCCAGGGGGGTCGTGGTCTCTTTCCTCTAATCGCTATGTCCTTACGTATGTGTGTCGTTCGATTGTATATAGCTACTCTTTCAAACTGTAAGTACATGCCTCTGTGTAACTGAAACATTAGCTGGGAACACGATCATTGGGATATCATTACGTGTACGTACGTGGACACGATTAATCAGCTCGGAGATGTTCGACGCGCGTCTAATCGCGAGCGAACGTAGTCGAGAAGTCGGGCCTGGCTCGGCCTGGCTCGTACGCTATGCTCTACACACTAAATTATCGCTGCACGGCGATGTTCAGGTCTGATTAAAGTCCGTATAACGATGTTAACTAGAACGAAGCGCGCGTCTCGGGATGCCACGGATCTGTGAAAAGTATTCTGACACACTAGGGAAAAAGGGAAGAATGAACGACAGAGTCGAGGCGCGTAACGAGACGTGCAGCAGACAGGGGATCTGCTCTACCGTGAGCATCGCTGTTGATTCGGTTACGCAAGGATTGCTAGTTCCTGAAACGGTTTATCGCTGCCACAAACAGTGCCATTTTCATGGTAGAATGAAATTAAGAATGAATTCAGCGTCGGAAACTTTTAGGATGCTCTTAGGCGATAGACTCGGAGCTAGAGACAAAATTAATTGTACATTCAGGGTCACTGGGTTATCCCCAATTTTATCTTCTGGATCCTATTAAAAGTGTCTATAGAGAGATGTATTAATAAATTTCTTCCTGTTTGTTCGCGATGATACCACAGGATTACACTCTCGATAAATTAAATTAAACTAAAGGAAGATGAAACATCATGTTCACAGTAGTTACCTCGGGTGACCTTCAAAAGATTTAAATCGCCGATCATTGGTTATCAAAAAATTATTAACAAATATCGATTGAAAAACGTACTGTAATTTTCACAGAAACCTGAATTTTTCAAAGAAAATTTTTGGAAAGAAGAGAAGTCATTTAGAATTGGTTAGACTGTTTAATACCAATGATCGACGGTTTATAACTTTTGAAGGTTACTCGGGATCGGTGTGGGTGCTTTTCGGAAGTTTATCAATTACCCCTGTCTCATCAAAAACAGCCTCAACTCTGTCACTGATCGATTTCATCAAGAGAATCCTTCTTTTCACAGATCGCACCCCAGCTTAAATCGTGATCCTTTAATTATTCGGTAAAACACGGGTCTATATTGTGGCTGAATGACAAAGGGTATGAGGCAAGGATACGTCTTCGATAAAAGTAATCCTCACGAAAGGTCGGTGGGGAGGGATCGATGTCGAAAGATTCTACCGCGGGATCGGGATAAATCGGTTGTTCTCGAGGGTTGAGTATGACCTAGATCCGTAGGAAAAAAAAGGGTTCTCGATGGTAGGGCAGGTGCTTGGTTCTACGTGTGTTCTTGAAAAAACTGTGAAACGTGTTCGAAGCGTAAAAGGAGATAGAGAAGTGTCGAGAAGGTGGATCCAGCAGAAGGGAAGAAAAATCCACAGGCGTACAGAAAGGTCCCACGGACATCGCAGAAGCAGCGGAGAATTAGACTCGAGAGAATGGTAAACATACGAGGGTCGGTTTGTTTCGTTGCAACTGTACACGTTCGATACTTTTGCCAGCGATACGTGCGACGGTGATCGCGAAACTTGAAACATTGTATATTTTTATTGGAAAGTTTAGCTTACGAAAAGCGCGACCGTCCCTCGAATTGTTGGCAGAAATATTTGGTAAATTCTCTGAGAATGCAAACAATTGAGACATAACCTGTATAGTCGTACAACTACACGCACAGGTATCATGATTTACAAATGTTTATATTTAGAGAGTTTCAGATCAAAAGAGGGATGAAAAAGATAATCAAAGAAGCGTTGCAGTTCAATGTCGCAGATACGAGTGCTAAATTACAGACACGAAAACGAACATCTTATCTAAAAGAAAAACAATAGGAGAGGAGATTAACGAATGAAAATCGAAAAAGAAAATGAACTTCAAGATTCCAAACCAGATACGCATACCTCAATAAAACAACATTCAAAGGAACAACGGATCACACAAGGCTGTCCGAATGTATATCGAACAGAGAACGTCACGGTCAACGAAAGAAAACTCGTTGCAATCTTTCCTAATTACGGGTCTGTACAATCTCTTACATCTAGAAATACTATTGGAAAAAGGTATATCGTACTTATCACATGCCACAATGGATGTTCAATCAAAAAGGTGTACACAATTCTCTACACACACTGAATTCACAAGACAAGTCGTTTCGAGCGTAGACTGTATTTATGCCAAATGGAAAACAAGGAAAGAAGCGTCTAAAAACATAATCGATCCGACGATGCATACCGAAGGAAAGTTCATAAAGGGTCGAGGGAACGGCGAGGATGGTGAAAAAGCAAATTCAAAGCGCGTATAACAAAAAAGATTACGAGACAGAGTGTGAGAGAAAGGATCACGCGAGTTACAAGCATAGACTCCGTTTAAAGATCGGTTAGACAGAAACAGTAGAAAACAGAAATGAAAAATGAAAGAAAAAGAAAAAAATGAAAACGAGCATACGTGTGTACAACCATACAAAATTGGACAGACAGACAGACGGACTAACAGAGACAGACAGACAGACAAAGTTACCTATGTAGCTGGTGACGAGGTTACGGAATTTGCGATGATTCCCCTTAATCTCAGGCAGGTCCACTTTTGGTATTCGAGTTTTCGAGTTTGCGATCGGTAGCAGGTCAGATCAGGTCATTGGGTGGTAATTATTTTAAAAAATCGATCGATCGATCAATTAGGGACTGCCGAGAATTAAATAGCAACAACAATTAGAAAGCGAGGGGGGCGAGGGGGTCATACGTTCTTGCTTTGGATCAAAGTCGTGGGTAAACAGACAGATAGAGAGAGACAGAGAGAAATATAGAGACAAAGAAAACAAAGCGACGATCAAGTGTCATTCTATCGTCATCGTCAAGGGGGTGACAGCGTGTCGTTTATCCTATCGAGAAATTCAATTGTTTCCCACCCAACCCTCCGAATGATTTCTGCTTACGACTCGTCTTTGCGGAATCGCGATTATTCGAGCGTATTTTTACCCAGGTGAAACCTTGACCGGCGGAACACTGACCTGGATCTCGATCACAGAAACATTAATGATTTATTTCTCTTTTTCGTCTCGAAACGGCAACGTCGTTAGTCTCGCCAACTCGTTTTCCGCGGAGCTCGTCATCGTTTTTCGTCTGTTCCTTTTACTCGGTCGCCTTGAATTCCATTGCATCTCGAAACGATTTCTAATTGCATTTTAATTTGATGCGCGATAGAGTTTTAAATCTGACGTTAACGGTAGAAAGTGCTCGGGTTCGGAGGCAACAAATCGACTGTTTGCTGGATGAAATTCCGTTCGTGTATCTACTTCTGGTAAAAATTACGTTTAGGGGACGCAGCTCCGATGACCGTGACCTTGATATGGATTGAAGGACACTTTTCTAAATAATCCTCAAGAAGTTTTAACCAGTTATCAAATGGTGTTTATTAAAAAGTTATTGACAGAACTATAACACCTTTTTCTTGAACTGTCTTTAATCTACTATAAATGACTTCCTCCTGAACTACGTCTAACCAATTCTGAAACATTTTACTGATCGGAGTTGGTTAGAGACTGCTCAAGAAAAATTTAATTCAGAGTTGGTTTCGGACAATTGCCTTTCAATACTTAAAATAACTGGTATATATTGCAAATTTTTTTTTCTAATAACTATTAACTAAAAACTAGCGACGGCTAAAACTTCTTTGGGGTGTACTCAGAAGAGTGCAACACATGTCAAGGTGAAGGTTATCGGAGCTGCATTCCCTAAACATAACATTTACCCTAATTTTGACCACGTTACGCGATCCGCTCGGATAATCCAGGTTTTCGCTACACGAGCTGTTTCTCGTGTGTTGTGAATGAAACGCAAAGATAAACGAAGTGATATAAACACGGTATCGATCGTCTCAGTTAGTCGTGATGTCGATTCGGGATATCGGTAGTCAACATCGGTAAAAGTAACCTAGTTAAACGTATATACGTTAAAACACAAACAACAAACACATACCGCATGATACGCTAGTTAAAGACAGTACACAAAGTGGAAACGCGAATTGTGGTGCAGAAAATAAAGTTCAGACGTGACCATGATTACGGATGAGGGGGATGTGAGTAGTACAGTAGATGAAATATAGTGTTAGATAGTGGTATTGGTCTGTAGCAGAAATTCTTGCGTTATATTTTGAGTCGACGAGCTTTTATACTGTACATTGTTCGAGGTCACTTTCCTTATCATGCATCACATCATGATATGCTCCTCCCTCTTTTACGTCACGAGAAAACACAGAGATGTGGAAGTCGTTAATTTCGATGGTGGGGGGTGGTGACCTCGAACAGACAGTTCACGTTGCTCCAATCGTAATTTGATTTTAAATTGTGGTTAGATCGCAATTTACTCTTGGAAGACCGTGCAATTTTCTTAACAAGAGGAAAGTAACTGGATAACTGGAAACTTGTTACAAATGTACTGCTTGGCATAACTATAATTTTAGGGTGGTTTTATAGTTATGCCACGCAGTCTACAATCGAGGAACTTAGATGGGTTGAATTAGGGATGAAAAAGATCAGGAAGTTCTAGCTGATTAGTTGAACGTTGTTTCGGTGTTAAATAGAATTCCTGCGACAGCCCAATGATAACGATAGCGGTAGCAGTGACAGTGGTCAGTTTAGTGGTAACACACAGTGGAGGATAGTAAAAAAAGAGAACGGTTGAAGAAAATGAAGTGTACGGGTAGGCTTTGTAAATGAAATGAAGTTGGTAAACAGCGAAAATGTTTATTGCAAAATATATAAATATGTACATTGGTGTCCACGTTGAGCCGATAGCTGAATATTTTTCACAATAAAAAAGAACTTTTCTACTTCTACCATCTCTCTCCCTCTCATACGCTTGCTCATACTCTCTCACTGGCACACCCATACCAACTAGCTTTGCCAAAATATATATATGTATGTATATATATATATACTCGACACTGTACACGCCTCGAGGACACTTTTACGTCGATCGTAAATCGCACAAAAATCATTCGAATGCATATTTAAGAAAGATAAAAAAAAAAGAAAAAGAAAGAAGTACTTTTTCCTCCCTCCGAAATTCCATTCCTCGAACGATCTCTACCGGATCACTGGCACGCGAAATTTCGAATTTTGTGCGATCGGTGACACGCCGTCCTCTTAATGACAAGCTTCGACGAGCTGTCATTGGATTGTTCTCGCGACGGTCGTGTAAAATAGAAAGCTCTGCAACCGGGTGTCTACCCTGTACAACTACTAGGAACACGAGGCTCGCGGATAGTCTTACAAAACCTTTGGCACGTCGTTTATCAACAAGGAACTTCGAACTTGAAATCACACGATATACAGGCTGACTAAACGCCAGGCAGTCGAAAGCGAAACACACAACCAGACGCGGTTCACTAGTTATCTAATAATCGTAATTCTAAGATCATCGATACTTCTCACCTATAACACCTGAATCGATTCATTCGTAATCAAATTCGAAATTTTTCTCAATTGGGAGAAAATCGAAATTTTTTTCTATCGGAGGAAAATCGAAATTCTGACCGTGATGTTCTAGTTAATTTCCAATTTTAAAATTAACATTAACCTAATTATCAATACTGATGTATTCCACTACAGATTGAACTCGTATCGTAAAATCGATTGAAAATTCTCCCACATATTTCGATGGAGAGGTAACCAACATTTTGGTAGTCTCGTAGACCAAGATTGTAATCGACAACGCAATTATTTCGGTTTCGACTCCCTGATTGTTCCGTGAGTATATGGGGACGGCAACAACGTTCGGAAACGGCAAAACACGGAATCGTCTTTACAATGGTGCGCCTCGCGCGGGAACCTTACGCCTATTATCAAAACCGTTGTGTTTCACGCACGATTTCGTACGGTTATTCCTCTGTTTGGTTGCCATTCGAACGAAATCAACGATACTGGCTTCGATGCATAAAATACTCAGCTACGTATGTGGACACCAGTGGACTGGTCATATTTTGTGCTCGTCAATGAACTTTACAACCGGACTGAGGGGTCGATCATTGAAACCAAAACGTGACACCGGAACAATGAGGTCGAGAACTTTTGATACGAACAATGAAAAAGAATGTGGAGAGTGGTGTCGTGAGAAAATTAAACGTTTCTGAAAACCATGTGTGTGCATCGTGTTAGCGATTAGTTACACCAAGAAAAAAAAAAAATAACAAAACAAAAAGAACCCAATGGTGACCAACTGACACATTTAATTAATCAAAGATGTTTAATCGACAGCATTAATCGTGAAGGAAATGCAGGTATCCGAAACATTTACGTCGGGGCAGGGACTGCTGATGATGAACGTTTTAAATTGTTCGTTCTCATTTATCATGATTTGAAAACAGGACTCGCTAGAGGGAAGCTCGCAAGCTGACACATGAGTGCAGTCAATAATCGTGCGTGGTTTTCGGATATCCGCACAGGATTTATCGCATTCTCTGCAGTTATTATTATTTTGTTTTTTTTTCTTTTTGTTCTTCTTTTACCTTAAGTCACTATTACGATTATTAGAATCTTTCATGGACGGCTAAATTTGTTTCATGTGACGATGATGGCGATGATGATGATGTGTGGATGAGAGAAAATAAAGTGAAACAGATTCGCTCATTCTCGCTTCGATCGTCTTAAAAATATGGATTAAAAAGAAAGAACGATGTGCGCGTACGACGGTAAAAAAAAAGAAAGAAAAAAGAATAGTTTCGATCGGTTGGCTCGAGATCTCGATTATGAACTTGTACACACCGGGATCCAAATGCGTTCGTATAATCGAACAGGTCCGCTAAGAACCGCGGGCTCGATATGCTATAATATGATTCGTCCATCAGGAACGAACGAACGAAATTAAGCGTCACCGAATTGAATGGAATCTTAACATTCCGGTAATGGCGATTCGTATTAATAAAGAAGCTAAAAAATATATATATATATATGTGTGTATATGTAACCCTAGCTTATGGCTTACTGTTCTATACGAACTGGAATCTTACGTAACAAGACAATTTATGTCACTACTTAATCGTAAACGGCAGAATAATATACGCGCGTTAAGTACCGTTTTTGAGCCATTTTTTCTCTCTCACTCTAGTTCGCTATCGCGATTGAAATGATCAAACTCCGGCCCTGCTTCTCCTATCTGGCCACACGATTGCAAAATACGTCACGAAGAATACGTTCTCTCGTTTTTCTCAATTTTCGTTCACTTTCTCGTTCAGCGACAGGTACCACGCGATAACATTGCATCGTATATAATAATAAATGGAATCACAGTAATCGATGCCGTTACTATAAAACAAGAAACAGTCGTTTTTAATTCACGTTCAGCCGGCGATAAAAATACTTGTCCGTTACAAGTATCCGCTACTCTACTTAAAGCCTAGAATTTCACTTGTACTTTTTTTTTAATGCTTCGTACGAGAGAGATAGAAGCCAAAAATCGAAATCGGCGATTACTAGGGCACGAAACGTCGATCCGGAAAGCAATCCAAAAAATGATAAGAACGACCGAGTGGAACTGATCGAAAAGGAGACCGGTTACAAATTAGGAATGAGCCTTGTTCAGTGTTAACATTGAGGTCAAGTTTGTTAGAAGAGGCTGATTGGGATGGTACTTACGTGACGGTATCTTCTTGAATACTGTCTTCGCCATGAAGTCTTGAAAGCGTTGCGCGTAAAAGCCTGGTCGATGTACTGATACGGTATCCTGTGATGAAACATGAAAAAAAAAAAAACAAACGAAACCGTTCCATCATTGATACCTAACAGAAATATACATGTATATCGGTTAAGATACAACGAAGACAAGTGAAACTTTTATTTTTAAAATACGAAGTTCGTTGGTTACCCCGAGTATTAGGTATGTATGCCTTGTGCAGTCCCCGAAAATAGAGGGACAGTGTTCAACGTACATCAAGGTCGTAACGTAACGCAATTTCATTAGGATAAATATATGAATGTTACTTACACCGTCGTGTATCATAGATTTCCATGTGTGCTCGAGCTTTTTCTTAAGCCTGTAACTTTGCAAAATATCAATGATACCGAGGAAGAGTAAAAGCCGTTCGCCACGGGCGTTGCGAGCTGGGATCCCACCTGGACTGCTAGCAACAGTAACCGTAATTAAAACACGTTATTAGAGTATCCGTGGTGTATACAATTGTAAGGGGATCGGAACGGTGATACTCACGGTACATCGTCCTCCGCGTCTATCGGCTCGCTTTCAGCCTGAATACTCTCCATAGCGGTACTATGCGCGACCAACCTTTGCCGGTTTATGCTTCTCGATCGGTTCAGAGCGTTGCCACCTATTCTGTCCTCCCTTTCCCGTTCCCTTTCCGCTTGAATGAATCCTGCACTTTCGCCGGGGACGTCGCCGACTTCTTCGTCCCCGCTGGCCGATAACCTCTGCTCCTGCTGTAACACAAAAGTCACACACTTTCTGCAGGATGTTGTATATTCATATAAGTAACAATGGTAGCTACAAAATCAGGTAGGATAAGTGATTTGGAATCTCGTACGTAGAGTTTAGTGAATTATAATTTTCATGGCTGAATTTGATTTCTACTGGGTAATAGTTTAGCGTAATTTTGTAGCACACATACCGTTTTCTCCCTCGCCGCCTGATCGAGATTATGAATGCCGACGAGCAACGAGTAGTCCATAATTTTGAAGCTCTCCAACACACGACAGTCTCTCTGAATCGTTTTAACCAAAGCGCTATAAGTATCCGCCTCCAGGAAGATCCCTTCAGCATGGTGCTCCATGAAGTCCAAATCCTTGTACGTAGGAGACGACTTGGATCTTTCCGTTTTAGACGCCTGAATGTCGAGAAAATGCTCGTTGAATCGCGCGAAGATAATCGACTTGTGTAGGAAGGATATTTCGTGGAGTTTATACCTTTCGTTTGTACGTTGACCCTTTCAAATCGTACTTCTGATGCAACTTGACCGCCGAGGGCAGAAGATTATTCATAGCGACTAATCTAACGTTTTTACTATTGCAACGATAGCAATACAACCCGAAAAACTTTGGCAGTAACGTCCTCGGGTTCTGGTTTAGATTCTGGAAGGAAAAAAAAAACAAGGTGTCCACGAATATCGCCACTGGCATCCAGAAGACAACGTTTACGATAAATCACGCGGGTTAAATGGTTTACCATGTAATATCCAGGAAGAAGCGTTTGCAAAAACTCTCCTTCTTTGTGTTGCACAGTCTTTATGATGAACTCGTCATCATCCGTTAGGTAAAAGATACTCCCGCTGGCGCCGGGGTTCGATAATTCGCGTAACGGGGCGCTACACATCGACATCTGAATATTCAAAGAGTACGATTAAACGGAAGCGTGTTAAGACCACATCTGTGTGTGTGGAGGAATTCCTTCAAGATCGAGATCCATCATCATTCCTTTCGTAATATAGGATTACAGGTTTTCTGTACTCACTAAGAAGTCGTCGGGTTGGATACCGAAGAGATCTCGAAAGTAGCGAAATGCAATGGGTGCGTAATTCTTGAACTTAAACTCGGAGAAGTGGTGAGCCGGTGTGTGATTCGAACCCTCGCTGGGGAAGTTCGTCGTCTCCACGGTCATGAAGTCCTGCATCAGCAAATCACGCTCCGGTTTGCTCGCCAGGCCGCCCACCGCGTGCTGGATGCCCAGTTGTATCGATCCCATGATTTGTGTCGTTTGGATCTAAGCGATAAAATGAAAGAGCAACCTTGAAATCTTCCTATCCCTTGTTTCCAACGGTTTATACGAAAGAAATACTATTCGAGTATTATTTTCCCCTTAACATCAATTTGAGCGTTTATCACGATTTTCAGCCTATAAGATCGGAATTTAAATGATTAATATTTCAACAGTAATTCTATACCCACCTTTTTGTACGTGATTTCGCCTCCGACTCCGACTCTCCTGTGGCCAATCTTTCTTTCTCGTTCCGATTTGTTCCTCGACACCCCCGCGGGGGTTTTGAGTCCTGTGGTGCCATGCTGCGTTACCGAGCTCTGCAAACAACACGATGAAATTATGGCAACGTCACCTGTATTAACGGGTATTCAGTTTTCGTTCGCGAACAATATATTGCAGAATTTAAATCTACGACAGACGACCAAGCAAAAGCTGACTGATTAACTGGGTTTATTACATCCGCCCCCACCTAATCCTGCCCTTCCGCCTTTAGTTCTACTGAAAATATTCGAACAGGATTACCTGCTGCGTGATTTAAAGGCCCATTCGGAACGGTTCTATAATATTGTCCCTCATATAAACGTGTTCAGTTGATTTCCAACCATTATAATAACACCGGCCATTCTCGACATGTCATTGTACTTCGGTTCTACTGGTCTATTTCTATTCTCTACCAATGATTTTATAACAACTTAAAGAAATCAGAGCTCTTATTAAATTTCATTAAAACTTCATCTCATTCTATTCGATACATTCCCATATACCATAGATGCAGGAAATCTGCAGTCTACTCATCCCTAGATTCATATTATTTGTCACTGTACAGGAGTCAACTAAATAAATCAACTAATACATTCTAATAATGACCTTGTTTCACTGGTCCAATAACAATTATTATAACTCTGTTCAGATTTACAGTGTACCAAAATATCATTCTGCATAACCATCGATAGACTACTCATTACTGTCCACCTTTGTCCCTACTGAAAATCGAACGAAACGTAACCTCACCTCGCTATAATCACACTACACCTAGTGTAGATATACATATAAAGGGAATATGATGTATTCTCGAAATTCAACCAGGTCAGGTATAACTCTCGTCTCGCGGCGGCATCAGTCCATCGGATAGACAAACACGGTCGGAAGTGCCCAAAGAGCGCTTATGCGTCATTCGAGTGAATAATTACGTGACTATTCTAGTCTCTTCTAGGGGTCGGTTCATCTCGACCCCCCCACCACCACTTCGACCGTCTTATTTACAACGTTCCTCGGATGATTCGTGTTTGTTCACCGACCGAGGGACGCGCGCACCAGCGTTTATTTTTCTTAGAAGACGGGGAACCTATCTTGTCGAAGTGTAGCCTCGTTGATAAGAACGGGGGCAGTGAGCGGTCGAATCGAGGAAACGTGCGTACAATCGCAAGAAAGAAGCTTCGTAATCGACGCGTATACGATCTTGGTCGTGGGTATGCGCGTTCGACGGCGGATTGATTAACGCGTCCACGGTAAAAATAGACACGATTTTCGGTGAATGGGAGTTGACGCGCGATAGCTACGGACCGAGGCCATCCGACCGACCATTGACAGGAAATTAAAGGGAATCGATAGATTCCTAGTCCCGTCGAGTCGCTTCTACACGCGCGGCACTGAAACCTTCGCGGAAAATTGAAAAAACGATGAGATATTGGTGGATGGCGAAATCGTTTCTGGGCAGTCTGAATTTTTCAATGCGACAATTAGACTTAACGTATTTATAGGACACTCTGAACACGATTAGATTTAATTAACTTCGACGTGCTTCTTATTTTATCCTGACCATGATGGAACTTAGTAGAAATTAGATTGCGGATTGTGTACATATATGGTATCTACAAATGTATCCGACGTAATTAAACCAACATTTTAACAGAGGTTTATACAACTCTAATTTAATAGATGCATTAACAGACGAATTTTTTTGCGAAGTTTGTGTTTATAAAATAGCCTATACAGATATAATTTTCTATAAATATTTTATGAATATATTCAACGGTGACCGCCATGTGATAAAAATTCCAATGTTAAATAATATAATCACAGTGAATGGAAAGCTACCCAAACATTTAATAAAAAGAAAAAGAATCTGTGAAGTAGTTAATTGGAGCAAATTCTCTTGCAATATAATTTAGAGATGTCGAAAATGACGATCAAAAAATTTAAATAGACTAGCAGGATGAATCAATTGATTCTGCTGGATTGTATTCTCATAAACTTTCTCTCTCTAGGCATTCACGATTGCAGATGGAACTGCCAGAGGCCGATTGGTCGAAGACAATACCTTGAACGCATAAAACCGACGCGTCATCGTCGAGACGTTCCGCGAGCGCAACAATGAAACGTGTGAAAATGAGCGAGTCGAACACAGCTGGAGATAGCAAGGATTTTCCTTGCATAACGTGTCTATCCGTGGACTATAGCTGAGCGTGGCAACGTTACTTTAGTGGTGACGATTTTTCATTCGAATCGAGCACCGATGAAAACACCTGTATTACATAAATAACGAGAATCTTTGGATTTATGTAACGTCTAGTCATATCAAACGATATGTTTATATGTATAATTGAAATCTATACATATAGGGCTGGATGTAATTCTACAGTAAGAACGTGGAAGTGAAAGGACTTGTATTTGTTACATTAACAATTACAGCTAAAATACACTAAATGGATACTGTAGATATTCTTTGACAGTAATAAATTGATAGGAATGTAATATTGATGTTAAAATGAAGTTTTTCCATAATCGTTCATCTCTGATAATTACCATTAATATGGTAGCGTCTAGACTGTGAATATTATGCATACGATGACGTGAGACTATTAATAAAAATCAGTGAAGTTTTTATTTTATATCACCTCTGTCAAACATTCAATAGGAGCTATAACTTCTTCATTAATTGCAGCTTTTGTAAATTGGTTTATAAAAATATGAATTAGCATAAGTATCCAAATTATTCATGTATTATGAACAAATAGTTTCAGTTGGTTTATATTCAAATATAATGACTGAAAGAAATGTTGACTCCTTTACGTCCCAGTTCTAAGTACTTATTTCTTTCTCTATTTACCTTATCATTCAAACGTTTGGAGCACTCACTCTAGTCTTGGAAAACCTTTCTTCCTAAAGAATTTTCTCAGTACGATACTATAATATTTTCATCCTCAGTCATGATTAACTAACGTCCTCGAAGAGATAAGTGTATCATTAGCTGTAGATATTATTACCATTAATTTATTAACCACATCGGAATCCAATCGGTCACAATTTCTTCTCAACAAAAATTCATACATTAAAACCAAAGGTCTACAAATATTACTCCGCTTTGTTACCACCTACAAGTACGACTAAACGATACACAGTAAAAAAACGCTCAAAATACATAAAAGTACTCGTGACTTAAAATACACAAAAAATAACTGTACCATAAAAATTTCAGCAAAATATTTATAACAGAACGTACTTTCTATCGGATGTATTCCAAGAATAAAGCGAAAAATTGTTTTTCCCTAGATAACAAAAGAATCCTCCAACTTTCTTATCGCCTCTACAAACACCACTCGTTAGCCACGACCGTCTAAATAAATGCATTACGAAACGTGTTAATAAAGCGATGCAAATAAATAACGCCAGTGGAGCGGAAGAGCGATATACAGCACCTCCCCCGCTCGCGAGAATTTCGATAAACTTGCCCACGTAAAACCACGTTCCACCCTGGTTATCTGTCTCTTGCTCACCGGCGCGCACCGCGTCAGAGACCTTTGGCGAGAGTGTCAATACCAATATCTACGTGTGACGCGGAAAAACGGGCACGTATCGGCTCAGCGAAAATATCAGAAGAATTTTTTTTTTTTGTTGTACTTACGTCAAGCACCGTCATCTTGTCCCCCGTGGATTTATCTGTAACATATCGAAAATTGCAGGCGTGTATACGTATACACAGTGTCGCATGGAAATAAGGTCACGTAACAGTCGGCGGCCCCGCAACCCATACACCGACACACGGTATCGCCATTAGTGAATGAAGCCCGGAGAGTCCCGTTTCTAACGGCGGGGCACCGCGACGATTCGACGTGCGATCAGTTTTAGTTACCGATGCATATTCCAGGAAAGAGGCGAGAAAGTGGAACGTTAACCGAGTTCACAAAAACGAAAGTCGTGCAGCACACGCCGGGTGCAACCGATTCTTCGCTATTGACACACGGTTAAGCCCCCCCTTTGGAGGGGGTAATACCGTTGACCCCGTTAATATGCACGAAATTTCAACGGTCGTCATTCGACCGTCGTCAGGTCTCGTGAAAACTTTCGCCACCACGCGTGTTCGAACGAAAAAGAAACTCGCGACCCGCGTGTATCATTATTTTCGTGGAAGTTGATTCAGCGTTTGGCCACGGTCGGAGAAAAGTAATTCTATTACGGGTCGCCGACGATGATTGGACGATGGTAGGGTACCACGGAAAGGACAAAGAGATTTCGGACCGGTCGACGCGGCTGGCTGGTGCACGGAGATGGGCAATGTTTCATTCAAGGAAGTAATAAATACTGAAGATTCAGTATTTTGACTACTGACTGGCCAGACTTGGCTCTGTAAAATTCGTTCATGATTAAAATCTTGTTTTTGACAGAATGAAGACTGTACGAGGCGATATTTTGCATGATCATTTTATTTCTGTGGCCTTGAACTGTAGGGATATTAACTATACTTATCATAAACAGTAATTTCAATAATGTTTTTTCTTGGGTCTCAAAAATCGCCATTTTAAAAAAAACGACTATTAAAAAATAGTGAATAGTGCAGCTAATACAATATTTATATGTGTAATGCACCTCCGAATATCTTATCGTTTGAATACTTTCGTTGCTCACTGTATTGTTGGAGGAACAAATATAGTGTGACCGTAAAATCGGCGACGAGCTACAATACTCATGTTTGGTGTCCAGGTACAAAAGGAATTGGCTGAAAGCATGAGCTGTGATGTCTCCTGGACCATGCTAATTATCTAAACTCCGACCTCAATATTTTCTAATTCAATGCCATTTAAACGCAGGAAGAAATACCAGAACTGCAAATGCCAATTAAAATTTCCAACTACCTCTACTACCGCAAAGAACTGTCGTTAAGTTACCAGTTCAGATCACTCCGAGGCGTTAAAAGGGAATATGGTCTCCCCCAGCCTGATATCCTACCGGGCATCAATAGGGCCCATTTGTTCAGGGTCTACTTAACGGGCACACTAACAATCGTTACTGCCAACTGTATGGAAGAACATTGGCCATCTCCGTTACCACAGGACGCGACGGGTGACACCCATCAGCTGTCACCTCGCGAACTGGATTAGCTCGGCGTAGCCCCGTAGGGGCAGCTCGTACACGACGGCTCGAGGCGTAACGTGCGTAGCGTAGCGCGGGCATGCGGAAGCAAAATGAAAATCCGATCGTCCGGAATCGATCGATCACGCCTATCCTCCTCTTGTTCGTGTCTCGCCGCGCGCGAGCACGACGGCGAGACATGGAAGCGACGCCCCGGGGAGCGCGTCAGGAATCGCGTTTACTTTTCTAGGTTAGGTTCGTGACATTTGGACGCGGACGGGACGAGCAGCCGTCGGCGACGACGACGATAGACAAAAGATGTTTTACTCACTGTCCTCGTCCGTGGACTGCTCCGGCCTGAGATGGTCGTCCACGGTCTGGGCCGGCACCGTGAAGCTTGTCTCGACCACCTCGATCACATCCACATTGTCGCCCGAAGCCATTTTGTACGTGCGTGCCTTCTTTCGATCCAACGAGAACGCACTGACTCACGTACGGCCGCGACGACGATCTTCCTGACAGTTTCGCGAACGCGCCTCCTCTGTCGTCGCTTCGCACGCCAGCATCTTTCGAGTTCCGCGGAACACACGGCGCACCTCAGGGCGACGCGTACGTGACGCTCACTCCCTCGAACATTACTCGTTGCACTCGCGTGTCCAGCCGGTTTCTTTTGTACCACCGTGGCACACGCAAAAAAAATGTCACCGATCCGCGACAGCCCCCAAAAGCCTCTCCAGCTCCGGGCTGAGAACACCCACGAACCTCGAGAGCGCCTCCGGCCTCACTGCTATTCGCCTATTGACCGGACGCCATCTTGACGCGACACGAACGACATCTGACGTGCAACTGGCGAACTCTATCGAGCTTTGAATGTACATCCGTTGAAAGAATGCTTTGTTCGGTTTGTTTTTGTCGGGAATGCTTTGTCTTGCTTGCCTGAATTTTGCGGGAAGGTTATTTATGTATAGTATTGAATTTCGAAGGTGTACAAGTGATTGGATGATGTCAAAAGAGTTCGTTTGGAAGGTGAGGCGGGATTTTGTGAGGTGTTTACCGACAGTAGGTTCACTGGCGGAATGTTGTTTCACCGGAAGATCACGAATATGACTCGATGACCGCATCCGGCTTGAAATAGAGATTGTCTCATGATAGAGGATACAAACTAATATAGGAAAGCAATGACGAAATGTAACGTTATGTAAGTAACGGTGGAAATCAGCCTCGACGAGTTTTATCAATGAACGTGTGTGAATGGTATTTAAATGACCGAGAGCAGATCGATTAAAAGAAAGTCGATTCGCGTGAGAGTTGACGTGCACGAACGACACCGTGCGTGACACGTGAATTGTAAAATGTAAAGTACGAGTGAGATCTTTTATAGCCTGGTGTGTAACGTTTTATACACGATGTGAACGCGGATTTATTTTATTTTCTCTATCTCATAGTTTTGCTAGGTTGAAAACACAGTAAAACGTTATCGATTGTAATTAAAGGACTTTTTCCTTGTACTATGAATACATAAATTTTGTCTGTTTAGTAAACAACTAAACTGAACGTAGCAAATCAAAATATCGTCTCTGAAGTTGTTAATGGTACCACGTTTGGTTTAAACGATCAATGCATAAATTATCTGTCGCTTTAAAATGACTTTTTAATCGCAGTCATTAACGTGACGAAATTCATCGATAACACGGACAATGCGTATACATGTAAGAAATTTTCTTAAAATTTTATCTATACCCTTAAAATAAATTCTTCGTTATTTCAGTCCCACGATGGTTAAATGGAAATGGATCCCCAAGAAAATTACAATACAAAGAATGATCCTGTTCACCATAATCGGCGTGATTTCGTGCGGAATATTGAAAGGTCATCAGAATTATGAGAAAGAGGTTAATATTCGTCTGATTCTCGAGCGACCGAAACAACCTGCAATTAACACGAACGATGTCACACGCGTTGGCCATTACGCCGAGTAGTTTATGCGCGATAGATTACTGAGGAGGCACGACAAAGATACCCGCGTGTAACTGTATAATTGAAAGTTCCTCGGAAACACGCAACGAACACGGGGAGCTCAGTCATGCGGTTTTATAAATCACCGTTCGATTTAATTGTTGGCAAACGGACCCGGTCTGAATGACTGGCTAACATTTCGTGTCATTAATTCAACGCGTCTGCTTCGCTCATTAGAGTGCACATTGATCGTGTAAAATCTTTCATATAAAAGGTTCCTCCTTCCCAGAGTTTCAATGCGTGTCCGCGGAGGAACGAGATTTATGGCGGGCGATGTACAATTAATTACCATTCTGTTCGATTACACTTACGCGACTTCGATACGTCGGCCACGATACGTACACAGTTCGTTCGTGCCACGTGCATCCGCGTGAAGAATGCAATGGCCTGGGCGTTATTGTATCTCGGTGATGCGTGTTCTAGATACCGGATGTTTATATCACGCGACGCTACGTACATATTCGAGCAACGATTTAAACATTTCTCGCGTGAACAGATGGTTAATAATATTGCACAATACACGTAACCAGGCACACGTAACTGGGTGTGATTCGTGTTCGCATGGTACACGCAGCTCGGTGTTTAGTATTAATTAGCGACACGTTACGGAATTGTTGAATCGTTTCATTGATCGTAAAAATAAGGACACTGATTATGATAGCGGTTTCAAAGGATTTCACACAGAAATATGTATTCACTGTTTTACCTGTTGAACCGTTCTGCTAGGACACTCACGATTCTGGAAGCACCACAGGTAAACGAATATTTAGTAGACCCTTTTCAGCAGTCGTGAATACGAAAGTCGAAAGAACTAAAAGACCTGTCACCGATATTTTAAATATAGTCGAAGACCATTAGAGATGCGCATTGAAAGCAAAGGTGGTACAGGTGCTTAAAGAATCCCAAAGAACGGTCAAGGATGTCCAGCTTCTAAAGTAATCCAGGACAACTAAGGACGACGTGGAAGGTCGGTCGAGTCTTTAGGCTCCATTACTCTCAAATCTGCAGGAGATCCTCGGAGGTCGGAGGCTCGATCACGACTGACAATTTTGACCTTAGTAGCTCTGTTTGTAGTCTTCCAAGAGACTACACATTCTCCTTAATCCATTGACAACTTTGATTCTGTTCTGGATCTACTAAATAGGCGCTGATTCATAGAAATATAAATTTCATAGAAATATAAATTTCATGGAGATATAAATCACACGTTCGTAGGAGCGTAGGAGGAAAGCCGATGTCAACTGTTTAGCCGGCAATACGACTCGATTAATTTTCACTCGTCGCGGAAGCTAGCGCACGCGCTACGAGTGTCCACGGATATCCATCTTATCGTCTCCCACGTGCATCACCCTCCCTCCCTCCTCTTTTTACCCCCCTGACCGAATTCCCCAGGGGGAGAAAAACCGATTATCCAGCCGCGATTCTCTGCCTATATTAATCGTCCTTTACCGCTACGAATCCCGCTATAGCCTCGACGTGCCCGGAAAGATCGACAAACATTAGATCGAAATCAAACGCGTCGAATAACAGAAACCATTTCTTACGGTCGGGTTAAATACCATCGCACGGTGGATTAATGCAAAGAACGCGATAATGCGCGTACAAGGGAAGTGTCGATGAAAAAAAAATGAAACAAAAAAAGAAAGAAACGAACTATAAAGAAGGCACGAAAGATTTTAGTGTTTCCTGTGTATACCCACGATCTAATTGTGTTTCGCCGTTGCTGTTTCGCACTAAAACACATATTACATCCACGAGCATAATATAACTAGGGCCGAGCACGACCGATTATTAAACCGACATTTAACTTATTTATATTTACTTTAGTCGATATTTAAACGATAGAATCAACGGTGATGCAAATTCGAATGGCGAAGGATTTTTCTTTTATGATACGAGGATTCGTACGAGGCCCAAGAATCGGGCCAATTGCCACGGAACGCCGATCGCCCGGGCGTCGTTTAATACAGGAAACTTTAATTTACACTGATGAAACGAGCGTTCTTGCGATACCCGTGCTTGACCTTGTAACTATTTCATCTCCGTTTTTTTTTCACGCCCGTAGGTGTCGGAGTACATGAACTCGCTGGAGTATCGGCGAGCGAAGGAGGCCAGTCAGGACTACCGTGTGCAGCAGATGAAGACCAACCAGCTAATGTTCATCAAGGATGATCCACTGCCTCCCGTTGAGAATCAGGTTTGAGAGAATGTTTTTGTTATGACGGAGTAAAGATACTTTTCACGTCAGTGTAGCCTGTAACAGTTAATTCGTAACAGCAGACGAAGACCAACCAGATAATGCTCCCCAAGGATGAACCACAGCTTCCCGTCGAGGACCAGGCTTGAGGGAACGTTTCTATTATGACGGAATAAAAATACTTTTCACATCAGTACACCCTGTAACAGTTAATTCGTAACCCAAAAATCTTGATGGCCAGCTTTATGGTCTACCATGTTTATTTTTTTTGGGGGGGACCCTATGTTACATTGGAATGAAGATGTCTAAATGTTGCGATTATCGCGAACGGTGTTGGTACTGAACATCTGGTAGCAATTCACTGTTGGTCTAGTAATTACGGTAAGGAGATAAGTACCATTACTGGCTTATCAGATTTACGGCGGGAGTCGAGATGATCGCGGGAAAGGTCTGAAGACAGGGCTCGGTGTGCGTCATTAGTCTCTCTTTTCGGCTGGTAAACATCATATACTGTTAGAGACACAAGTGACCTGATCACTTTAAGCGTAATATGAACAACACAAGCGAAAGAATAATGTATAATTTCTTAAAATTTCGCTATCTTTTCTTTGTAAATCGTATAGGTTGATACTTTGATCTGTGTGTCTTTAATTTCGGTAGCTGGGTAATCATGGGGTATAGGGCGATTCAAAACACTTTACAGATAAGCAAATCGACTTCCTCCTATGAATTTAAGGTAAGTAACAGTATTTCTTTATAATATTAAGATCTAGGAATTCTTCCTTTGGAAAAATTCGTGGCACTGAATATTAAATATTCCATAAGCTAATGGCCATATGCGGCTAAAACAAATATCATTAGCTCCAGAATTCCAAGCTCTACCATTGTGCTAAACATAATTAATACGACGATATCAGTGCGTACATCAAACAACTCGTACATTTATAACGTTTGACGTAATTTCTGACTCATCCTGACGCAAACGTTGCGAATAACAGACAAGAATTTAGGCGCTAAGAGGGCCCCAGAGAGGGAACAATATCCTCTCGAACCGTGAAGATTGATGATGAAACAATGCCCATCTCTTTCGTAGGAACACTGATACTGATTTTCAGCTGACATCTGGACGGGGGGATGGGGGACCTATCGCGTAAGGTCAGGGTGGACATGATATTTCCTGTATCGGAGGGGCCTCAACAAAGGAACAAAGCAGCTGTCAAAGTACGCGAAGCGTGTAACTTGCCACTTGAGCTACGAGAAATGACCAGTTTGATTTTTAACGGAAAAGCAACAATCTGCACGGTGCGTTAATTGCAGCGATCACGGGAAACAAAAGCGTTTCCTATTCGTCGTTTCGTCCCCGAGGCGTTGGTCACTTTGCTAAAATATTTAATCGTTTATTTGCAACCGGTTGGGCAAGCTCCCCCTTGTAATTGATAGGTTCCGCGGATTGCAAACCGTTTCCGCCTATACGCGCAACGAGGACTTATCTGTCCTGACGCGCGCAGTTACGTGCACTTTTTTTTATTGTCTCGCGATACGTGCTATGATTTATGATATCGGAAACCACCGAGACTCGTTTCTCGCGACGAAATCACGATAAGCGGACCGAGGAAGGTCGTCGAAGTCCAGCGTCGTCGCCAAGGCTGCTTCGACGTCTCTTCCATTTGGAAAAGTCACGAATTGTTCTCTGGCCAGGGGAAAAATCGATAAAGTGTATTACGATTCGATACGGCAGAGAATGTCATCGGTTCGAACGTGGTAGCATTCTTTTGTCGCCAGATGTAATCGGATGTAATCGAAAATGAAAACCGGATGACCCGTTATGAAACGGGAAATGCTCGAAAGAGCTTCTGAAAGATCGTCGTGGAGTGTTACTTTTCGTGAACGGAAAAGTATAATTTTATCGATAATAATCGCGATATTTTACACCTTGGCAACTGTCCTGTGACGAAAAAGGATCGTTGCATAATCGTGGACGCGGGGCGAGTTACGTGTCTGGTTTGTTTTGGCCTCGTAGACTGCTCTTCTGATTTACTATCTAGACTTTTATCGCGATTGGATCTACGATATGTTAAAATGAAACCTTACATTTTGTTTTTCTGATAACTTCGTGAAAGTTAACTGTGTTAACTCTAATAAGTTACATAATGTTCTTCTGCCATGTGAAAGTAAAGTTTTTGGTTTTTATTTTAAAGAATTTGCAAATTTAAATATTTATCGCTTCATTATATTAATTTTTTTCCACTCTGTCCATTTCACTCACCGAGGGTCAAATTAAGTATGGGAAATAAGGGACGGATGAGAGTTAAGTATCGATTCACGTCCTCCAAGATTATAAAGACGACAAAACACAGTCACTAAACTTGATCATTGTACAGATCATTACACTTGAGTGTGTACCCAATTGGCATATATGTGGCAACTGTACAAATAATTGTCTACGAATGGTCGATTTCAATTGTCAACCAACACGTCACGCTAGAAAAACGGAAAAGGTGTGTTAACATTCGATTCGAATTGATCACTGAACGAACATCGACGTAATTCGTTAGTATCGGAAACGTTTATACTCCGTGATATCATTTCTTTTCAACGATGGCAGGGTTATCGAGGTTACTTTCACGGTCAGCTTTTAAACAAGATAAAAAATTTAACGTTGGAAGGTGAGTTTGTCGATTCCAGTTAACTATTAAACGATCTATATTCGAAGACACAAGTACGCAATTCGTAGCCAGCCGTATTTGCGTACGAGATAAAATTGTTTGCGAGCAATGAGCCGGTATGCGCGGAAAGAAACCGGAGGGGAGTCTGATGAAAATTAAACGAGTTTAACTATTCGAGTAAATCAACTCGTTTAGGACCGTTCATGGATAGTACAGAAGTTTCAACTGTTGAACGTACAAGATCAGGAACGCCTCAGATTAAAACGTTTGACAATTTATATAACGTGAATCGGATCAGATGGAAGATTACGGTTCCTCTCAGAATGCGCTAGATAGTAAAATCAGTGTCAGTGTTATTCCGGATAAATTTGTGGGACAAAATAACAACAATCCAGGTAAATCCAATCTCTGGAAATTGCTAAATAATTATCTTATTTCAATGAATATGCAAACTCGTATGGAACGGTGCAAAGAATTTACTGTTGATTTACATTTCTATTCTTTCTTATTATTTATCAAAATGTTTAATGAAGTTGAATTATATACATTATTTAAGGTTAATATACATACTGTGTTGCATAGGCGAAGATGCCCAGAAGAAGAAACCAGCAGATTTCGAGACGGCCATCGCCGCAGCTGGCTATGGTAAATTTCAGTATCTTCTCCTCGTGGCGATTATTCCGGTGACATGGGCAACCAGCATCGACACTTCGAACGTGGCGATTATCCTTCCATCCGCAGAATGCGATCTAGAAATAACGTTCTTCCAAAAAGGCCTCCTCAACGCCATCACATTCGGAGGTGTGTTCTCTCAGCTACCAGATACTAATCCCATTGGTGAAATAATTCGTTGATCCCCATTAGGAATGGTTACAAGCGGCTTTCTATGGGGGTACATAGCGGACGTTCGAGGTAGGAAGACTGTCTTCATCTACGGCTACCTGGCGGACGGTATTTGCAACGTTCTTTCGGGGTTCTCCCAGAACTTCTGGATGCTCGCGTTTTTCAAGTTCTTGAGCGGCTTTATGTGAGTGCAGTGAGTCACGATAATGGACCTAGACTCTAGGTCCTAGAGTATTTATTTAACTGGGACTAATTTAACGGATTCTTTACCACGTGCCACGTTGTTCCTTAAAATTATAATCTGTGATGTAACAAATTCAGAGGAAACATTCACGATGGTAGTCAAAGTGTTATGTAATTTTTAGTTCATCAGGAGTATTTAATTACTTATTATGTATATGGAATTTAAAGATTCACTTTGTTTACTATGATAATTTTTCTATATGTTCTATAAGATAAAATACTAATGTTGCTACAAAAGAATCCATCGAGTATCATTTCGAAGGGTAGTATCTTGAGAGATCTATTGAGGCCTTCTGATACCTAGAAGATAAATCTTATTTTAACTAATGATTGGAACCGACTTTTCTGTCACAGAATTAGCGGCCCTCACGCTTCCATCGTAACGTACTGCTCAGAGTTTTATGGGATTAAAGGAAGAATGAGAATCCCCCTGATTCTCGGCTTCTCCGTCTCCTTTGGAAATATTGTGACCGCAGGTAATTGAACTTTAAAAATGATTAATGTTTGATAGTAACAGTGATAAACGAAAAAATTCTTAGGTTTAGCGTGGTTAGTGGTTCCTCAACCGTGGTCCATCGTCCTTTGGGACGGTAGTTTCGTTTACAACTCTTGGAGGATCTTTCTTTCCCTTTGCGGCGTCCCGATGCTTGTCGGCGTCGTTTGCCTAACTTTCTTCCCGGAAAGTCCAAAGTTTCTGATGTCCCGGGGTCGTAACAAGGAGGCGTTGAAAGTTTTCCAGATGATTTACAGGCTGAACACGGGAAGACCGGCGGAGGAATATCCAGTAAGAATTCCAAAATGGCGATTCGGATTGCTTTGGCAAAGAAAATAGCAACTGGAATCGTGAGTCTCTGTAAATGTTCCTCGAAGCAAATAGAACTGATTTTGATTTAAGATTCAAAGCTTGGAAGACGAGTCCTGTAAAAAATCCACCAATGGCACTCTCCAAAATGGAAAGTCGCAGGGTATAGCGATTTTCTTTTATCCTCATCTGCCTTGGATTGTCTTGGTCACCGCTTTGCAATTTGGAACAATGTTGGCGTAAGTTAGAAAATTTGCAAAAACCACCCCTAGTTCAGTGAATTATATTAATC